AACTGAGCAGAGCAGAGCAGTGTGAGGGTGGGCAGGGCACGCTGTTGCTGCCTGGCCTCCCTTCCCAGTCTCCTGCCCTCCCCACCATCCCACAGGGCTTGGGAATACTGCCAGTTAGCAAAGTGAGGCACAGGATCAGTGAGCACAGAGAAACTTCCCATAATGGCCTGTCAGTCTGAGGTAAAACCGCAGCAGAACATTTGGATTTCTTGCACTTCTCCTAAGGCTCAGGCATGTAATTTCATTGTGGAGATACAATGCTAACTTTCATGGAATGACAAGCTTAAGCCAGACACATTCCTATGGTTCTCCCTTCCTAAAGCAGGCAGTGTAAGAGTTCACTAAGCATTCTTTGAAACAGTAGCATTTTCATAACTGCATTCATCTGCCAAAAGAAATGTTGTTTCCAGGCATCTATAAAAACAATAAACATCACCATCATCCTAACACTCAGCAGCTGGAACAGCACAGCCAGACCTTGGCACCAAAAGGCAAGCAGGCCTCAGCTTGGAAATGACTGTGGTAAGCTGAAGGTTACTGAGGATGGCCATGGAAACAAAGGATAGCTTTTTGTTCAGCTGCTAATCCAGTACAATGAAATAGTAATTATACTTACACAACAACCCAAATACAACCAGTGCAATCAGAGTATGGATGAGGAGGGTCTGAATGAATCTGAACGCTGAAACCACTATCAAAGAGAAGGCTGAAAAATACATTAAGTTTGAGTGTTACAACCCTTTTTATTTTAAATATAAATAGCAACAGCATTTAGTAAAGCTGGCAACCTTTTTAACATTTAAAGCACACAGTTACCTCTAACTTAAATGATAAGAAACTTATAGCTGATATATTTCACCATGGAAAATACTGCCTTTTAATAGCATTTTATGTAAGAGTTAAATTCAAGTATTCATGTTGATGTCATCTTTTTCGTCAACAATTTCTTACAGTACCCCAAAATGAGGTATATAACCATGTCATGGAACACAGAATCTGACAGAGATCTGCATTTCACCAGTCTATTAAATTCCTCTGATAAAATCTGATCACTCTTCCTTAAAAAATAACCGTGCCCAGAAAATACGAAAAAACTCCACTTTTGAATTAAACATTTAAACTTATAAGAAACATTTTAACCTTTCAATTGAATAACATTATTCACTATTTACTTATAATCTTACCTAGTGCAAGGACACTCAGTCCTATCACAGTATCTCTTCTTGCCAATATTCCACTCAAAATTCGATGAAAAACATCCATTTCATTAACCATTCTTATTAGGAGAGATGCATACTTGGAATAGCATTCAGGATTTTGTGGAACACAGCGATTAAATAATGGAAAGGATTTACTGAAAGGTTGAAAATAAAAGTGGTAAAAAAGCATTAATTACTGGACAAACAGTTTAAAATCCACAGAGCTCCATCCTGCCATTCTCCACAGATAGCATTCTGTTATAAAGAGTGGTTTTATGTATCATCTGCAAAATAAACTCCTAATAGTGTCAAACCTGTATCACTATACCATAACAGATCCATTCAAAATCAGCCTGGGGAAAGAAATTAACAACTCTCTCATTAACTATCACCATCAGCACATAGTTCCTATTCCCATTCTAGTCTGGCTTCACCTGCTTTGCTCCCATGTGTTTATGTAAAAATTAAGTTCATGCTAGCATAGCTGTAACCTATGCTGTTGTAGATAATTCTAAATCAAAACCACTTTGTTTTTGGTTTTATGATATTTAGGCATTCTAAAAGCCACACCAAAACAATGTTTGCAAGGTACAATTAACACCACCAAATATTTACACAAAATTATTTGTCACTCCCAGCCAAGCTTCTTGCACATATTTATTGTACCACTTTGGCAGTGCTGCCCTACAACAGCCAATGGCAAATTCATACCTGAAAAGGAGAGTTTTTTTTATCAAGAGCTAATAATGTGACTAACTTAGCTTTGCTTCTACCATGTAATATTACTATGCAAGATGAATAACTTTGCTGAGTTCCTTGACAAACCAAAAAAGGCCTAGAAAGTTGAGGAAATAAGTAAAACATGCCTTATTTTTTCATCAATTTATACACTTAATCCACGTATGTAATGTTTTTACATGTCTCCTGCTCTCTTCACTTTGTCCTTCTATTTTCTGCTGTAAAGAGCAGAATTAGCTCTGCAAACACAGAGATTCCATTTCTCTACTGCATTTTCATGACACAATGGAACTTAAAATCATGGCTTTAAGAATTTTGACTCACAACTGCCAGATTTGAGAAAGACAGAAACATCCACAGATCCATCCTTCAAGCCCTCTGACTATAAAATTATTCTGATGGAAATTTCTGGGCTCAGGAGAAGAAGCAAGGCCAAAGACCACATCCTTGGCATTGAGGGAGAAAACAAAATCTGTGCAGGGGCTAAGCTGTTCCTCATATGGAGTGCTTTGTCCTAATTTGGAAAAGGAAGAGGAATGGAAGTGTAGAGGAATAAAGAGTAGAGGAATGGAAGGAATGCAGTCCTTGTTTATTCTGTGGGACAGGACACTGGCATGTTCACAGGCACATAAAAGAACTTGTAAGGATACATGGACAAAAATAAATAAACAAAGCAAAACCATCCTGACTGTGAAGCATCAAGCCAAATACAAAATGTGAGAAAGTAACAATCCATAAGAAGCTGTTTGGACTGAAGGAGGTTGTAAAGCACTCAGTCATTCTTACCTTGGTGGAACTGGCAGGGTGGGACACAGCTGAGCTGCCTTTGGATTTAGTGTGTAACTGGAAACATTCAGGTTGTAAACACAAAGAAAAGAATCTAAAAAAGAAAAAAAAAAAAAGAAAAGAAAAAGAAAAAAAGTAACTTAAGATTAGTAAAAAATTGAGAGAAAAAACAGCTAAGTTTTTTTTGCCCTTCTGGTTTGATCCCTTACCAGGCCATTTTCATCCCTGATATTCCAGTGGGAATGTGAATAGCAAATTAGGTAGTTGAGTAAATCTAAACCAATCTCTGAAGAATATTTTGCCTTCTTGACTTAACTATAGTTACCACTTATATTCCTGGAGGGCAGGCACACTGTTTGCTCCACAGTGCCATAACTGGCTATTAATCCTTGCTCACTAGGACTAGAGAAAAACCTGAAATGATGGAAGCTACAACAGAATGAGATCCTCCAGAATATATCTGTATCCAGATATATACAGAATATATCTATATCCAGAACATGTGCTGGGATCTAGGTGAAATATTTCCATGTACTCTGCTAACAACACTCTGCTCCATTAGATAGCACTTCTGGGAAAGAAAGGCTGGGTACATCCAAGCCACTCAAAATGCAAGACTTCTTCCTGCCTTGACATAAACATGCAAGCAGTTTTAGCTGGAATTTGAGGCAATTATGTTTACTTAGACTGAAAATACTTCTGTTACCTCACAGGTGTTTACAGCTTTCTGCAGCTACAAAATTATGTCCAACTACCTCAAAATTAAATTAAAACAAATATTGTCAATTTAAATAGCAATCCCTGCCAAATAAAACAGCAAAAAGGAAAAAAAAAAAAAAAAAAAAAAAAAAAAAAAGAATGGGATGCTAACTTCCAACAATAATAACCATTAATATTCATATGGTCTAAAGTTTCTACATACCCCATGAAATAAGGCTTAGGCTACAGATTATTCAGATTATTTTATTTACATGTTGGACATGAATAAACAGGAGCTTCTTTCACACAACAGCTACTCCTGACAGCATTTCATCTTGGACACCAGAATCAAATAAAATTTCAAGCTGTGTCCTGGTTTTGCTTAGGTGCCAGCAAGGGTTAAACTACAACAAAATGGAATAACAAACATTGGGATCTGATCCCTAGAGGGATAAATCTACTTGTGTCTTCATGGAATTAATAATTCCACCATAGCTCTAATTACATTTAAAGGAACCAGTTGGATAAGAGTCACAAGCAATGTATGAACTCTGGTCACCTACTGGCACCCCTACCAAACTTCACTAGCTCATTATCAACAGTCAGTTTTCTGCTACATAATCTCAGCACTGTGCAGGAATTAATGAACAACTTTGTATTTTACATAAGAGAGCTGTAACATTTCTAGAAACTATGGTTTTGAAAAAAAAGCAGAAAAAAGACATTTTATTTTCTGTTAGCATGATTATTCAGGAACTCAATGGCAAGATATGATTCCCTAGTGTAAGAGCCATAACTAAAACAAAGTGGAATCTGCTCAACTGTTCTACAGTTACACTGAGGTACTCATATTCCCTGTGGCACACCATTATTCCTTGCAAAACTCTGTAGATCTTCCAAAGAGTTGAGTTGGTATTGTGGACAACTTGACACGCACAAGGAAAGTGAACTGACTTTGATGCTTTGTATTTCCAGGCTGCATGAATTCAGAAAGAACACATACCTAGAAAGAAAAAAAGATCCTCTTCTCAAAAAACAAGTTTTCTTGGTTTTTCATAAGTTTAAAATCTGATCCTTTTTTTTAAAGTGCTACAAAGCAAGTGCCACTTTTTCCAAATGAGTCAGTGGAATGACTGGGAACTTCAATATGCAACACCCTTAAGCAGAAAGATTTGCCATATAGAATGACTGCCTTTCTGGCTGATGTCCCATTTAAGATCCTCTCTAAGAAGGCAGCTGCATAAAGCATAACAATTCAGCACATTTTCAAGTTCTCTCTTAACTTTTTAATTTCACTCTTCTGCACTATTCCCACCTTTTTCGCCTTTCAATACAACAGTGTATAGATACACAGATGTATATGACTGACAACTAGAAGATGTGTATTTTACTAAGTTCTCAAACATTTGATTTATTTAGACATTATCTGATGCACTTACTTTTTATTAGTCATGTCCAATCCAGAAAGATTTGCCCCTTCTACAGGAGTGTTCTTCCGACCACATATGTTCCCAAAACTGTCATATCCAAGCACAAGTCTTTCTGCAGCACCAGCCACCACAGCATAGCCACTTATAAACATCTGTTAAAATATTTTTTTAAATGTGAAAGCATTCTACCATGGCTTTTCCTTCCCATTCAATAAATATTTCTTTTAAGTCATACATTTTTGCCTTCTGGTTGCAAACATTTAAATCTAAAATTCACCCCTCTGCACAAGGCCAGAGCAAGTCACATGGGCAACTTTAGCCCTATTGCTTCCTTAGAGCTTTCCTTCATCTACTGTTATTAGTATATAAATTAAGCAGAGTAACACAGGAGAAGAAAGATAGAGGTCCTGATTAAAATAAGAAGAAAGAATTACTAAGGTGCTAAACACTGTCCCTAGTCATGTTCATGTGTGTCACTAGGCAAGATCACTCAAATAGTACTTTTTCATGTGCTCACTGAATCTCATGTTACAGGCTGACCTTCAAGACACACTTGGATAATAGAACTGCTGCTAGGATGGGCCCTTGAAGCTGCTATGAATTTAATCAGAGGTATTTTAAAACACAAAATACATTTCAAATGGAGATTACCTGAAATTTCAGGAAGGAGCACTCTTTAACACATGTGAAATACCTGGAGAAAGCCACACTATGCACTTAGATGACACTGCCCTGACCTTTTAGTTCTGCTGCTGGATCAAAGTTCCAGTAGATCATCTTCTTCTAAACCCAAGAGGGAGCTAAGTATTTCTGCTGGCCAAGTAGCAGCAATCCTTAGTTAAAATGGAACACCTTGTCCAGCAACACAGCTTAAACCCTCCTGTACATTGTGAGGGCCAAAACAATCCTTGGAAAGAACCTTTGCAAGTGCCAAGAAGCAGGAGTTCTTCTGTGAAACTGGAGTCCTGAGTACTGCTTTACCCAAGGCTTATCTCCCCATCACTCCAGCTACTGAGGAACTCAGTGATGCAAGCCTCTCCCCTGTTCCATGGGGTGCAAGTCCCATTTCACACACACCAGGACAATCCCTGAGCTCGTGGCTGTGTGCCAGGGGCTGGCTGCAGCAAGGCTTCCCAGTCCCACAGGAACCACTGCTGCTTTGCGTGAAGGCAGCTGAGTATCGGCTGTGCTCGAGACACTGCACAGACCAGCACAACTGCCTTCGAACTTCAGCTTTAGAGCCTTTATCTGGTTTTCTACTTTTAGTACTTGTGACTAAAGATTGAATCTGGGCAAAAACATGTCTCATACACAAACATGTACCAATGTGCTTCTTTAGTTCTGAGACAAATCTCTTTTTTTCTTATAGTAGACTCTTATTTTGCAGTCTTAACTAGTTCAGAATTTTTTAAAAATTATGATGGCATGTTGATGCTGTCTCAATATGGACATCTTTGTATAGATTCCTCAATTCAAGCTAACATGTGATTTTAGTGGATACTTTTGGATGTGATTTGTTACAATAACAAAATATATCCAGATCTAGTTTGTTTACTGAGCAAGTATTTTTTTAATAATTAAAATGTTATCAGAAGGAAAGTAAGAAATAAGCTGGCAGTGTAACTCAACTGAAACATGCTTTTAGAAAAATTCTGGTTCAAGGTGAAAATGCCCTCTAAATATGGGCATTACAGATCTACTGTGTAGATTACTTTTTAAAAAAATTATTATTATTTTTTAGTTTTTGTAAGTGTAGACTGCTGGATAAAAGCAATAAATATTGTTAAGTAACAGAGTAATAGCTGCAGGGGCACATGGCCATGATACCCATTTCCACAGAGCTGTTAAAGTGGTTCCAATTTTTTTTGTTATGTGAACAGATTAGTGTCATTACATTTTCTTAAATACTTTAAAAATAAGATCAAACACAAGAAAACAAATACAAGCATGTAATAAGCTATTTCATAGAAAGTGAGCAATAAAAGCAGTGAGAAAAACCAAACAAAAATCCTAAATCCTTACAATTTGACAGCTTTCATTTGTGGCATCCCCTCCACTGATCAGAGCAGTAAGCATTAGACAGCAGGTAAAAAACCCCTATCCTGCTCACAAAGTTCACCATCCATTTATGCAGCATACAAAATGTGTAGGTAATATTCTGCATTAGCTTCCATTCAAAAAGTTACTATGCATGGAATTAAAAAGTGTACTTTTAATCCTGAGTAGACTGAGACGTATCATTAAAAACCCCATTCATTCCTCAGAAAGACAAAGGCTTCCCCCAAAAGCCCGTGCACTGATCTAAGATAGTGACTTAATGTAGCATCAGATGGATACACGTTGCAAGATATCAAGGCTACAATGAATAAGTAGAAAAAAGAGCCCAGTCAGAGCCTGGACTAATTAAAAAAAAAAAAAAAAAAAAAAAAAAGGCATATTCTAAATAACAGAGCCCTATGTATACTTAGAATTAAAGAAGCACATGGTCAGAACTTAGAAGTGTGACTGACACTACAATAAAGCACTGCGCCACCACAAAGGTAAGATCTATCTATCCCTGGGCAAACCTGGGGACCTGTGCCAGTGACAATTTCAGTTTAGATTTAGTATAACACTATGCAGAACCCCATTAACTTTGGATCTGATTTGTCCTTCCAGGAAACAAACAAACGTGCGTGCTTACCAAACCAGCCCAGAAAAGACAGAAGAGGAGCAGCCAGAAAGTGTCCGTGCACTTTCTGTAAATGGCTGGTCGCCATTCCCGTACTTCAGAAACACCATCTCCAGAGCTCTAAATAGAAAAAAAAAATAAATTCAAGAAAACAGCAGACCTATGAAACTTCCCGTGCATTAACCCAAGCTGCAAGGGGCGGAGATTTCAGCAATCGCGTAACTCCGCACGCTCGGTGCGAACCCCCGGCAGCCGTGCCCCAGCGAGGAGCGCTGTCCGGCCGCGCTCACCTGCCGCCGGCCCCCGCGCCGCTCCATGGCCGCGCTCGCCGGGCCGCGCCGGGCCGTGCCGGGCCGTGCTCCGCGGGGGCGGCGGGCGGGCCCGGGGCGCAGCCGGCCCGGCGGGGAGAGGCTGCCCGGGGCTCGGCTCCAGCGCCGCGGGGCCGGGCCGGGCCGGGCGGTGGCACCTCCGGCAGCTCCGCCCGCCGCTGCGGCCGCTGCGCCGGCGGGAGGGAGAGAGAGAGCGGCATCGCTGCCCCGGGGCGCTCCGCTCCGCTCCCGCTCCCGGGACGGGCGCTCGGCGGGTCCGGCAGCTCCTCCGCAGCCGCAGGTTCATACAGGGCCCCTGGCCAGGGTGGGAGGCTTATATTTCACCGTTCATTAGCTTATTTCTGGGAATAGCTGAAGATTTGTTACTCCCGGCGCAAAATGGGGGCTGTTCTGTCCTGTAAAGCCCACTGACGCTGGTACCCGTCTGGCTGTTCCAGCTGCATTATCGATGTACCGTCAGTCATAGACTCTTTTCAGCTTCTCTTTGGCTGTTGTTTGCACAGTTACATCACGCTGACGTGCTGTATTATGCTATACATACTCTCATCTATGTCCATATGCGTTTTGCATGCACAGGAATACGTGCAACAACAGGAATAGCACCGAATAAGGTCAATCCCCGTAACTCAGATGACTGAGGAATGCAGGAATTATTAGCACTTTTAATAACATGCTATTTATGTGCTGTCCCTATTTCCAATTTATTTTTATGTTCACTAAATTCAGCTCAATGATCTGGAGAAAATTAGAGATTGGAAGGATGTTAAAAGTATCATTTTGTCGTCTTCCTGACAGTCAATGGAACAAATAAATATTCTCTTTAAGAAGTAACACAACATCTGCAATTGAAATAAAATTGAATTAAATGGAAGCTGTTTTGCAAAACTAAGAATTGGTCCATCTTGTATAGGAGACAGAGTACTAAGCTAGTCTTTTCTAGAAAAAGAAAGCAAAACAAAATCAATGTATTTCAGTCCTCTGGAGAAAATGTAGCATGAAACCTTGGTGACAAACTAGCACAGATGGAAGTAAATAGGCAATATCAGAAACTGGGCTTTTATAAAAAAGAATGAATCTCTGCCCCAGAACATTTCAGAGTACTTCTAAGCTGACTGGAAATAACTACATTTTTCCAAAAGTGTAAGTCATAAAATGTTTCTGAAAGTGACATTTTAACTATTTTGACAGAACCTGGTACAATTCTGATTTAAATTTACACACACCCCCACCCCCACCACCTCCCAAGAAGTGGTTGTGAAGAAACACAGCTGGAAAGATTTCTAAAAACTGTCTTACAAAGGATTTATTAAACCATTTAGTTTCCAGCCAGCTCATAGTTGCCTTTATCAGCATTCTATCTTTTAGTGCTCATTATCCATCAATTTTGGGAGGTTTTCAGAATTTGGGTGAAAATTAAAATAAAATTCTTAAACTGAAAGAGTAGTTTTGTGCTTTTAAAACCTAAATAGAGACAAAAGTTTTTCCTTCACTTTGTGCTGTTGCACTTTAAAAATATGTGGGAAAAGTAATTTTTGCCTTGAAATACAAAAGTGTAATTTTACATGAAACGTAACCTTTTTTTTATAAGATAAATTCAATTTTTTATTTTATCAAGAAAACTAACCAAAATTATTAATAACCTTTAACATAAACAAAAAGTATTCTGTGACAGGATCATTATCTGATTAAGAAAAATCATCTTGAAGAACAATGCCAGTGATTAAGGCCTATATTAGAATCTGATGACTTGCTGTCATCACATGCTAATATTTTGCTGTTGGTCTGGCACTTTTTGAAGGATCCTCTTTAAGTTTTGTGTTCCATTCTTACTGTGAATAGAGGAAAACAGCCAATGGAACAAATATTTTTTAATAAACTCCACAATCCAGGTAACTGAAGTGCATGTAAAAAAATTGGAATCAGCAGTAGAGGCCTGATTTTATTGAGCAATATCAGTCAAAATTCTTTTATTTCCTCAGCTACCCTAGGAACAATTATCTTAGAAATGCTAGAAAATAACTCTAAATTAGAATAGGATTTTTAAAAAATATTGTAAATGAAATATTTTAATTGTACTAAGTTTTTTTCCTGAATTTCAAACATGATCAAATAAAACATATATTCTACTTAGTAGCAGCTGAGTGCTTTTATCATGTGTCACTAGGTGGGGCTCAACTCCCAGTTTCGAGCTCCAGCTCAGCATTTGAGATGGGTGCACAGAGCCTCACACCATGGTGAGCCAGTATGAAATGAGGACCCTCATCCTACAGTTTAAGAAAATATCAGGAGACAAAGCTCAGATTGGATAACAGATTTAAACACCCACATCCAAAGCGTAATACCAAAAGCTCTCACTTGTTATTTGTCCAATCCGGCCAAAAATTGCCCAAAAGATCAATTTCGGATTTTCTGTCTTACCACTTTCACAGGGTAGAGCCTGGTTCTGCAGCTGAGTCATTTGAGCACCCAGTGAGGAGCAGCGAGCTTTCGAAGTGATATTTTGTAGTGTGAAACATAAATGAGATGAAAATAAATTCTGGAGAAAGAGTATCGGGTTAAACAACTGGTCTTGGGCTCTCTCTCTGACGAGAGCCCATGCTGGAGCCTTTGGTCTCAGTCCCCTGGTCTACATAGACAAGGGGACTGAGAATTTATAAAACAAATAACTTAACTTCAATCTTGTATCCAACTACAGCCACTTCCATGGGAGATTAGTATAATGAGGATCCACATTCTCTCATAAGTCTGCACGGATCTCTCAAGAATGTAACATTTCTTGTAAAGGAAAAGAAAATATTTACAGTCTTGGAGTACCCAGGAACTCACAGTGATTTATTTGAGTTTTAAGACATCTTTTAATTTTCTAACCATTCAACCTGCTTGGTGTGTTACAGTGGGGGAGCCACAACAAGGGAGATTAACATTTACACTTCTGAGACTACTTGTAGTTTTTAAAGGATGTTTCACATGTTAACCATCTTCAGACATGTTTATCAGCATCAGCAACAGAGATGAGCAGCAGTGTAAATTCATGGGTATTTTTCAACTCTGTTTTTCATGAAGTCACATAGAATATACAGAAAAAATCAAACATGAAATCAAGCTTCCTGACTCCAAGCTTTTATAACAAAGTTCTAATTATTTCTTATGAGTGCAGTTTATTCACTAAGAATGAATCCTGGTGCTGCTTGCACTTAGGGCTCAACTTTCTCACCAAGAAACTTACCTGATTAAAACTGGAGCAGGAATGTGGACTGGGAGAGGAAGGTGCTAAATGAAAACAGGACAGATCCTTGCTAAACTGGTTAAGTGAGATGACTATCCCTATCTGTATCCCTTTCTGGGTCAGACAAGGAACAGAGACCAATTACTTTAATAACAGGACACAGCAACTGAGAAACTCAGCTTAAAAGCAAACATTTTCTGCCTAATTAGAGAAGGTGCAGCTGAGCATAATTTCCATTGCTCTCAAATGATCTTGCTTATGTACAATAGCTTAGCAGGTAGGCACTGTTCTCTGTAGGTAGCTATGCTTGGAAAACCTTGAACTGTAACACCCAGAAACTGAACAGAATGCCTTCTATTATGCTCAATCTGCTGGTCAGGTTTGCATTCTAAGCCCAGGTGTTTATGACCTTATCTCACTTGAACCATTCAGTTTGAAATTTCTCATGGCAGATGCTGAAGATTTTTGGAAAACATCAGCACATATTATTCACTCACTTTTAAGAATTAAATTAAAGAACCAGACAATATGGTATACCTTCTTGGATAGTAGTAAAGAAATTCTTACACATTATTTGGATTAGAGATTTTTAATGGACAAGGAGAAAGAAATGCTTCTAGCTTTTTCTCATATTTGAGAAAATTCATCCATATTTATCCAAACCACTTTGATAAATCATGGTGTATGCTCAGTCAGCTTGATGAGCTTCATAGCTAAAGGGTTTGTAGGCTGTGCCTGCATGGCACACCCAGGGCTGGCTGAGACAGTCTGGGCAGCCCTGAAATGTGCTTCTGACTTGTCATGTACTTTCACTGTTTTGCCTTCACATCAATGATTGTCCTGACTGAGAGCAGGCACAATGGACAAAGACTGGTCCTGAGATGAATGTAAAGAAAAAGGAGAGCTGGGTATAGCTGCTAAATAGGTTCCTGGAGTTGATAAGGAATACCATGGTTGATATGGAAATCAGGACCTAGCAGCTCTCTGAGAAGGATTAGGGATTCAAAAAGTGAGTATCATGAAAGCATTAACCTTAGGCTGTAGACAGTGGGTCATTATGCCTCTGTTGAGCCACAGTAACAGACTGAAAGCCAGGACTGGCTAGGCAGAGACATCAGAAACAGAAGTAAAATGGAAGTCTGGGACAGAGGGGGAATGGCTGCCGGAGAGAGGAGGTGGAGGGAGGACTGGTATGCAAGGGATAGCATGCAGGATTTGAGGGATGAGTGGGGCTGTATGTGAATGAAACAGAGAGACAGGAGGAAATGGTGAAAAAAGGAGGCCAAGATTGAAAAAAGTAGGAACCTGAGAGCTAATGGAGGCTAGAACTAGTATAGAGAGGCATAAAAATGTCCAGGGAAGAAGAGTGTAGATAGTGAAAGCTGTGTGGACATAAACAAGCCATAGCACAAGTCCTGAAGGTACTTAAAAAATTAAGACTGTGGGGAATGATCAAAAGAATCTGGGTCTGCCACCACACCCTTTTGCAAGCAGAGTATCACCTTTCCTCTCCTGTCAGCAAATACCCTGTTTTGGCCTGAGAGTGCCCTGGCAGACTCAGGCCTGGCTAACAACCCAAAGCTCCCAGCCAGATTTCTGATCAGCCTGCCAGTTCTGTCACTGCTCCACTGGATCCACTGGCAGGCTTCTGTCCCAGCATCTAGAGAGTCCGATCCTTCTGATGACTTGAGTTAGTTTCTTTATGATGCTCCATGTTTGCTTTCCTGTTTGCTCATCTACAAAACCCCACCTGATCATATATTTACAGCTGGACTTTCTAAATATTCTAAGTATAATGATGAAAATGCACAAAAGATAAAATAAGCAGTATTTTTTCTAGTACTTTGATGATTATTGA